TTGAATTGAATTGAATTGAACATCCATCCAATATTGCATGGCCTCTAAATGTAAAAAGGCAAAGCAAGTTAACAAACAGGTAAGTGAATAACTCCTGTTCATGATGATAGCCACTGATTTAAGAGGATTCAAAACTTTGTTGTTCTTTTATCTGTAGTGTTTTGATAATCTCTTGATGGGCTGAATGTATTTGGCCATCATTTGCATGTTAACCAGAGACCTGAGGTTGAGTAGGTGCTGCGTTACAAACATGAGGATTTTATATCTTTTGTGATCCAAACAGGACAGAAATAACTGAAGTTCATATTAATTTCTGTTAAATTACATAATATATTACATTATTAATAATAATAATACAATCATATTATATTAAGTCTATAGTTGAATTCAGCTCAATATTTTTTTTCTCCTGTCAGAAAGTAAATGGAAAAGGAAAATTAACTCATCAAATCCATCTGGCCTCTCAGACACCAAAATGATAACATATCAATCTCATCTAGAGTCTGCCAATGTATTTGCCCATTTTTGCTGTGATTGCTCATGTGCACAGCAGCACAGACAGTAACCAACAACACACACACACACACACACACACACACACAAACCTACACACTAAATCATGTCAACGGCAAGTATTTTTTTTTTATTATTTAGTATTTTTAAGTGTTTTTTGTGGCAACTATATATAACATTCACATACCAGACCAGTAATGGTGACTTGTGTGATACATTGGCATGAACTCATGCAACCCCCAGGGTTGGCTCATATCTGGTCAGTCACCAGCTTTAGGCCTTTCCACTCACAGGTGAAAGCTCTACACATTCAAGTCGTTTTATTTTAATTCTATGAGTTTGCATGTCGAGTTATACACACAGAACGAGTGTAAAAGCTTTAGACAAACAATTTGTGAAACACAAAGAGATTTTATTTCATTTTGCACAGAGTTTGACAGGATTGTTGGACAATTGATTTTTCTTTGTTGCGTTCAATTTATCTAGTTGCAGATAACATGGATAAGAACATGACTGCATTTACAGATGTTTAATACTGACACTGTCGCTAGTAGTCAAAATGATATCATGCCTTTATTTAAATCTACAAATCCTTATTGAAAATACTGCAAAACCAATATTTTTGGTGCAACTTATAGTATTATGCTAACATGAAATAGTATGTCAAATGTGTAAGACTACTTATTCAGAAGAGCACAGTTCATATTGGACAGAGTTATTCCTGTGCTTTTCACTTTGTAAACCACCTCACATGGAAGACTCTTCTGGTCAGATCTCCTCTCTATTTTTGTGACTTTAAAGACCTCATAAGGAGGAATCAGGGCTTCTCTCTCCGACTCCCCAAGCTTAGAGTACAGCGAGACGTCTGCCCCAGAGCATGTGACAATCTCAAAGCATGACTTGTCTCCAAATCTTTCAGCGCTAGGGTACCAGCCCATTGAGCTGGAGGTAAAAGAACCAAAGCGAATCAACTTGTTGAGAACATCTTGGCTAAAGTAGCTGTTGACTCTGCGGAAGCCATTGAGACACCTTTCTGCTTCAGGTTTGCGAGCGTTGAGAGTTTGAAGGGCATCAGTCAGGAAAAAGTGAAGTGTGTGATACCTGAATGTGGTCTTGTACTTAAGTTTCTGGGTTCGAACTTCCTTATTGAAATCAAGATAGACTTTTGGTTTGTCGAGGGTATAAACATAAATAGCCATGATCTGTTCTTTCCCCAGGGAGGTAGAAGGTTTCTTTCCCTTTTTACATTTCCATTTTTTGTTGTAGTATTTTTCTGCTTCACCCCAGGCCAGGGTGAAATTGTTGTCTTTGTTTTTCTCATTAGGCAGGTACTCCTTCTTCACTTTGTACTCCATCTTGTCTTTGCAGCCAGTGTACATGTCATCAATAGCATTTAGAGCCAAATCCAGTGGAACTTTTAACCCAGGTGCTGCAGACATCTGAAAAATAATTAAAAAACGAGAGGAAAAAATGAGAAAATATAAATTTTACTTGGTGATAATCTTTCCCACAGATGTTTGTACAGCAGTACCTTTGCAACTCCTATACAGGCTCCGTATGTCATTACCACTGCTGCCCAAACTGCCATTGTTGCCATCTTCAGGTATAGAAACCTGCACACATTAACAACATTTTGTTTAATTTTCTTCCTCTAATCTTGCTGTCAATTTCTTGAATGTAAAAATAACTGTGTAAAACTTGTTTGGATGGATTTAAGTGGTCCTTGAAGGGCACTCCCTAAAGAGCCGATGAAGACTTTTATTCACTTACCAACCTGCAGTTCTCACATGGTGTCGTGCCACCTAGCTGACTTGGTAAGCTGAGCTCCTGCTTATCTTTTAGCAGCTGCAGACCATTCCAATCAGAGGTGTGACCATTCATTGTAATTAATTATATGGGTCCTTGCATCTGGGAATTCTACAGTATAAGTACCTCTCAAATTACCATTGCAGGAAGAGGTGTTTTAAAAAAAATGTAACTCATAAACATTCAAATCAGACTCATGGAAATAATCATTGTACATGGGTAATTTTTTTGGACACATAGAGACCTCTTACAAACCTACTGCATCCATGTCCTTTATGTTTTGTCGTACTTGTTTTGAAGGTCGTAAATGTGGCAAATTTTGTTACTAAGCCAAGTCTAATTATTTTTTTTATTTATAGTAAAATATGTAAGGGTTACACATTTTGAAGGGGCAATAGGACTTTACATGCTGTACAGTACAGAGACGGTGTTGTAAAAGCATGACTATATATTATTTGTGGAAGATAACTTACAGTATCATACTACTGAACTCAGTGGGTAGTTAGTGTAAATAGATAGTAGGCTACTTTTATACCATGAAGTCCATGTGCAGTGCATCAGAAACTGTATTAAACAATCCAATTAAATGGCCTTTTATACTTATTTTCTTTTAGGTTATATTCTGCTTTGACCTATTTTAAGATACGTTTCAATAAAGAGGTACCATTTTGGAAATAGTTCACCAGTCCTAATAAAAAATAAATACATTTAGCAATTAAATGCATAGTTTAGAGTGTGAACAGCCAACTTGTGTCTCTTTAAAAATTGTCAAGCTGCAGATTTAAACAATCAAGTTAATTTTGTTCTTTTGGTTGGGTTTTTTATATACTCATACTGGTACCAGTAAGTCTGTATATATCTATATCACCAAATATGAGTTGTTTTCATGGAATTTGATGTCAGGAAAACAAAATATGAATTTGTGAGTTGCTTGGCATTTATTGTGCACAGTATGACAAAGGTAGAAACAATTTTTTGAATTTTCTCAATGATAAAAACCACATGGTAAGAGTTCCATTAACACGCCATTACCCCTCTTTGTTACCCCTCACACCCAGTGGCTAACTCTCAACATCACCAGAATAATCAGCAGCAGCAGCAGAGCACCCAGCACTGCAACCACAAAACATTTCTGCCTGCGTTTTACAAGAACTAAAGAAATTATAATAAACAGCATTACGCATGCTGACATTTTCCCAACACTGCTTGCTTGCCACTGCGTTGAAACAGCTCCAAAATATGTTTTTATTGGCCTTGGATTCAATTTACAATTTAAATCTCCTCTTGGTATTTTGGTGCTATGTAGCTTGTAGACCACACTGCACCACGAATCATCTGTCCGGACATCAGTGATTTTGAAGACCTCATAGGGAGGAATCAGCACCTGTCCCATTTGCTTTGTAGCTGAGTAATGTGTTATGTCAGCACCATAGCATGAGTGAATCTCAAAACAAGACACATTGCTATTAAAATCAAATGACTGCTTGCTTGAAGCTACCCAGGTGAAAGCCCCAAAACGCATGTTTGAGTTGATGACATTGTGGTCAAACTGTTTCCATGTTCTGTAATAGGTGGTTCTGCACGATGTCTGATTCTGACGCAGAGTCTGAATGGCATCCGTCAGGTAGAAGTAGAAATAGTGGAACTTAAATCCATACGTGCTGTACTTGTATTTCCCCGTTTTCACTGCTTCGTTGAAAGCTTGTTGTATATTTTTCATTTTTGTGTACAGGTACAACACTATAGCATGGTCCTCTTTCAGGTGCTTGTGTGCAGGTTTCTTTGCATGTCTTTCAACTGAAGCCCAGGCCAAACTGAAGTCTCTGTTGAAGTGCCATTCAAACACTCCTAACAGGTCGATCACAGAGGCTGTTTCAGATCGGCAGCCATCATACATATCATCAATGGAGTCTGTTGCCATATCCAGAGGTAAACCACCAGGTTTCTGCAGTTACAGATAAGAAACAGTGAGGAGCAAAATCAAATACTGATGGTTTGGCATATTCAGTTTCAAAAGAGTGTGTGTTTTTGGTGCATGTAAAAGAAAGAACTGTTATCCCACCTCAGCAGGTTTCTGAGGCCACCAGAGTAGTAGAAATGGATCATGATATAATAGGAGTGCCACCGCCAACAACACACAAAGGGATGCCCAGTTTTTCAGTGACTTCAGCTCACACACTGGTACTTTGCCAAACTTCATATCTGAATGAAAACAAAACATGAACATGCACGAAACAAAAATGGCTCTTTGAACTCTTTCATTGACCCAGTTTGTGTCTGCAAGTGGCTGAAATGTAAGAGTAACATAAAAATAAACCATATCACTATTTCCTTGTAGTCTAATCAATCAATAAACATCCTCATATTTTCCATCAAAAACGTATATGAATTCTTACCTTTCCTCTGCCAAGTACTTTCAACAGCAGCATGTTATTCCTTGGAGGAAAAAGGTGCTGCAGTGTTGTTTGCCATCCAGGAAGTCCCAACACACAGGATTTACAGGTACAGCCACACGGCAGACATTCTTCCACACCTTTGCTCAGAGGCACCAGAGCTAATATGGATCTTATTTTGCATGTGATGTTTAAACAGGATTTAGTGTGTGATGAGAAACCATTTAACAAACGGAACAGTTTTTACATTTTACTAAAAACATTTTCTTTTCCTAGTTTGCAGCATATTCCCCTTCTATGTGTTCTATTGTTTCTATTTGTCAAGTGTAAATGAAACCTTTTATCCACACTGGCTCAGTCATTTCAGTGTTTACACTGGCAGGAGGGAGGTTCTACAAGTGATAGCACTAGGAAATCCTGTTTGGTAGCTTTCTCAGGTATAAACAAACAAAGGGAAGTCATCGAGTTGCAAAAAGCACAGACTACAACAGAGGACATGTTTCACTCCGGAAAAGGTTGTATAATGATAAAAGACAAAAAAAACTTCACCATAGTGCTGCTCAGGATGTGGTAAGTAAAAAAAAAAAACATCTTCAAAACTGCTAGTTTTTTCAAAATGTTATTGTATTTACTTTTCACTACACATCTATACACATCAACTTTTTTTTTAGTTTATTGCAGATTAGAGTGATCCAATAACGAAGCACCAAATAACCAAATATATAGTGGTACATCTTTATTTGTATTTCGATCTACTGGGTTTTTACAGTAGAGATTGATATGTTATGAAGAATTTTACAGGGAGAGTCACAATCCGTTTAAGCTGATTAAAGAACTGTAAAGATGAAGATAAAAATGTGCTTTAAGCTAACTCTGATACAATACATCAAATATGTAAAACATTTCTGCTTAATATTATACATGGTCCCTTAAATAAAACAATAAGTTATATATATGATGAAATGTGCAATAGTACAGTGCTCAGATCCAGTATACTGAAGGGGATTTTGTTCATCTCTGATAGCTAATGAGCCACACAGGCAGATGTGTGTGTGCTTGTGTGACTCATTTGTTTTCAGGCAGGTCAAAAACATGTAAAACACCACCTTCCTGGGGTTTTTCATTCATTCTCCCTTGATGTAGTTCAATTTGTGAGCCTATAATGACGATCTGTGGTGCATACAGCAAGTGAGGCCCATTTTAAATAAATAGACAGTGATGGTAAAAAAAAAAAAAACCATAACATTATAGTTTACATTTTATCATCAGTTAACAGATGTCTGTACCTGTGCAACCTCACATTACAGTTATATTTTGCCCTGAGCCAGGCACTGTAGATGTTTCCCTGGTTGATTTCTAGAAAAAGACAATATGTAAAACATGAAAGCATATCCACCCCTCTCTCAGTTCATAACAATGACAAATTTCCTCTGTTTCAGATACACTATGCCTTCCTGGGAGAGACAAGCATGCCAGAGAAAAACTTTATCTGCATGTGCGATTACTTCTCTTGTTCTTTTGGTGGAACTGCTAATATTTGTTGTCATATATCAGTCAGTAAGCTGGCAGGATATTGTTGGAGAGGTATTTCACAATTTTACACCATATATTTGACATAAATGTCTCATTTTTATGGATGCACTTTTAAAGTAATTCCAAAAGACATAATCTGTAATAGTTTTTTAAGGAAAAATGTGGACTATGCAAAAGTGGTTCCAGCTTAATACTGTTCATTTAGTGTATGTTTTCATCTACTGGATGAATTCTGAACAACATGTTTCTCCTCATTTCTGCATTCTATTCAGGATCTGACCTATGACCTGAATGACGACATGTATGACAACTGCAGGTCCAAAGCTATGGTTGTGACTGATAAAGCCATAATGCAGACAATGGATACCAGCACAAACTTCAGTCAAGCCTGGAGCAACGCAGAGCAAAACGCTGAGGAGCCTGTACACAACTACATGGAGAAACATCATTCAGTTGCCTTATACATGTACACAAATGTTATAATGCAACCTGTCAAGCGGGCTCTTGATACTGCAGAAATAACTGGAAAACAACTAAAAGACACATTAAAGTCCCGCTCCCTTTATTTTTCCCTTAGTAAAGCCATTCAGATTCTAAAGCACAGTCAGGTGACATGTCTAAGTACAAATTACAGAATAGAGGCACTTTTAAATGTGAATATCTCTAACAAACTGATTCGGTTCAGCACTTTCATAATAGGAAGTGACGGGTGGAACTTCACAAGGAACGCTTCATGCTTTGAAGTATACACATGTTTTGGTGCTGACATAACATATTACTCAGCCTTGAAACAAAACAACCAGGTGCTGATTCCCCCCTATGAGGTTTTTAAAGTCACTGACATCGAGACCGAAGCACAGAGGTGTAAAGTCGTCTACAGACTTAAGAGCAACCTGAACTGCGTTTATGATAGAGAAAGCAATACGTTGCATCTAATATCTGCATTGCCAGTGGATGGATTCTGGGTCATTTTTACCATCACTTGTATGATTATTGTATGTCTTTTGCTACCCTTTATCATTATGAAAGTGTTAGAAAACCACAAGAAAACTGCGGTTTACTGTGCTTCATCTTTGCCAAACAGCATTTACTGTCCCACTAGAGCTGTCATATAAAGGACAAGGTTTCATTTTAAATAAAGATGAGCTTTATAATTGGCAGCAATCAAACTGTGGCCTGGAGTGGGCTGATATTTCTTAAACTTTATGAATAGGAAAAGAGGAAAATATGGTTAAAATATACCCAACTAACATACTTGCTATTAATACATTTAATAATACATTCATTTCATTATGTAATATTTACAAATGGTGTTGGTCATTGTCTTATGATGTCCACATTTCAGTCAACATTGCCATGCTGTAGTTCCAAGTTCTCTGTTACTCAGTTCATAAAACGTTTAAACCTGTTGCAACTCCTAGCAGGGTGTGGTCTGAGCAATACAAGTAGAAAGGGCTTCCAAAAAGGATCAGTGAAATAAGCATATTGGGCCATCAAATTAGTAATCAGTTTAAAGAACGGTCCAAAGGCACATGGAATGTAATTTCACCGTCATACATCATACTTGATATCACAAAAAATTTGAAAAAGGTCATTAGTATTTTATCATTAATACAAAAATACATTTGAGGCCCTGTCATGTATTGACAGTTACTAGTGGGATTCAGTGATGCTCTAATGTCAAAATAGCAAAATAAGGTCTTTTCTAATCGAGGGCTGGTGTGTAATTCACACATATTCATAGATTGAATATCATGATTCAGAGCTGCTTTAAATACACTTGGGTCGAATGAGCAGCATTTAAAGGAACATTGTAACTGTCTGATCAAATGGACCGGTCTAAAAGCTGGCCCCTGACTTCTGAAAAAAAACTGAAACTGCACTGAAACTGACTCAACAAAACAAATAAATTGTCTGGATTATGGCCATTTGGACCAGCCTCTGTAATTTATCTTAAACAGATACAATGTAGATGTCAGACCTGGGCAAGCCACTAAATATCATAATAATATATATATGTTCTTTGCTTGGGTGAGGGTAGGACTCAAGCACACTTTTAAAAGTGCAATAGGTCAGAAAATGGTGTGGAAATGCTTTCTAATATATCTACTATTTGTAACTGTCCCTATGGATTACTGTCCATCAACCCAGTGGGGGCCAGCCACTGCTACATGTAGGTTAGACTAGGAATATACAAATTAGATATGAGATGTTCAGTGGGGGCAGCCCGGGTCGCTCACCTGGTGTGCACCCCATGTACAAAGACATTTCACATTTCACTGTATAATGATAACTGAGGAATGTTACTTTACAAGTTGTCTTTGTCACAATCATACACACACGCACATTCCTCTCTGAAATGTCACAATCACTTGTTGAAGTAGCAGGACACGGTTGAACAAATTCAGTTCCCTTAAAAACAACTGAGGGACAATTGAGGGAGTGAAGAGGTAAAAGTATGTCAGCTATAAACAGAGGAAACTTTCTCTTCTTGACTATGTTGTTTTAGTTGGTGTACAATGATTCACACATACTAAATACATCAGAAAAGGTCAGACAATATGTTGTTGAGCAGGATTTTGGAGGTTGACATTGTGACACCATGCTGACAAGATTCTTACTTGCAATCTTCCAGCGTGGCTCTGCACGTAAAATGGCTAAAAGTTGAGATTAGATATACAGTATATCCCAATCAGATGAATACTGATATTTCAGTACCATTATTAGTCAGCATGGCTGCTATTTGTTGTGTAGTAACAAACAATAATGGTATAAACATATATATCTCATTTTATTTAAGACTTCATCCTTCTTGGCTTTTTTTGATTCACTTTTCCGACTATACTGACCACAGTGTCTGTATGATTGAGCTAGTTGTCAGTTCTTATCCTTAAAGAAAGTAGTATTAACATAAACTTGTCACTGTATCATCACATTTTGGGCTGCTGAAAATGAATGTCTTCTTGTTGGCTTTTAGGAACTCAGGTCACATGGGTCCTTATCATCTCCTTATCTTATAAAATTCTTTCAAAAGGGAGTGCCTTGGGAGAGGCCAGGTATGACTCGGGAGAGGCCAGGTATGACACCGTTTGCCAGGAAAGGCTCAATGAATGTGTTTTCTTTCTGTATCCAAATTGCTCTTTTTGCACTTTATTTGCTAACTGGATCTGTTAAAACTCCTACAATGAAGCATTGCCAAGTGGGTCTCAGCTGATTTTAGTGGTTTACTTGGTCTAATGAAGGCAGCGTGGTAGCTCATCGATGTGTATTCTCCTAGCAGCTCGAAGGTCACAGGTTTCTGTCTAAGAGAGAGATGACAACAAGATCAATACCATCAAGTACAGCTAGAACTAGGATGTGGTTAGTCCAAATTAAGACTTAAAAGTCCATTGTGTAGGATTTATTGGCATCTAACCGCGCCTGTATTTGACAACCTGGGAACGAGAAGGCGCTGTGAAGTGTGTGGAAGAAACTACGGTGGCCTGTAAAACTCTTTGGAGAAAGCGAAGCTAGCTGCACATTCCCTATGATAAACTATTTCTTTAAATGGAACCACATTACCCATAGATAAGTTTGTCTGTATGTTTTAGGCATGTGTTGACTGGCAAGCTGTTCAGGGTTCTTATAGGAACACTAATGGTTTGATGGATCCTGTCAAATGGATGTGGAGTTGATGGAAAAAAAGGAGCATGTATTACATGTAATGACAAGACACTCACACCCGTGTTCTCACTGACAGTAAAAACAGAAGAAGTCAACTGAACTCTTACGCAAAGAAAATGCAGGGTGTGTGGGAGTTCTGTGGAATTCTATTCATTAGCTTAATCAGACCTAACTATAAGAGGCAGAAACGAGGACACACACTCACACACACACTCTTAAGGTTTTCAGATAAAGCAGGAAACACACAGGTCTACACATAATATAATCTACCTGAATAAAAACATGGAATGCTGACAAAGTCTGAAGCAGTGCCAATAAGGATGGACTTCTGAAGGGTTAAGCACACATAGGTAAGAGTGTGTAAAATGTATTTGCATCTTCTGTATATTGTTAATTGTATTGGTCTTACATTTATTATACCATTTGTACTTGTTTTCCTTAAAGTTGTTAGTTTGTAATAATATAAATTTTTTTGTAAGTAAAATTAGAGATTACGGCCTTTCAGATTAGGTCAAACATTGATTTGAAAATGTTTAAATAGCACATGAGATGCTGTTGCTGTTTTCTTTTCTTGGGGATTATATCAAAACTATGGAAGCAGAGATTTCATATTTGACTTAACAGTATTCGCTGTGTCTATGCCAACCTACAAGCATTTAAAAATCCAACAATAAAAGCACGTTTTCAATAGAAATCTCAATTTTAATGTAATCTCATGATAGTGTGCACTAACGCTATCTGTTTGTTTAATGTTATTAGTGTATTGTGTAACTGCCTGTTTTATTTCCCTCCTTCTTGCTTTCTGGGCTGATTTGTTCTGTCTGTCTTCCTCAGGTGTTTTCACTTGTCACTTGTTGCCTCATTAACCCTGGTCCAATAACCCGCTCTGCTCTGTGGTGATCACAGTGTGTTCTGTTTGTGGCAACCCACTGTGAAATTACAACACACAGTGGGGGAGTAACTGTAGATTATCAAGCTTCCCCTCCTTCTTTTTAGTTGGTATTTTGTGAGTATAGCAACGCAAAACTTGAGAACTGGTGAAGGAAACAACTGAAAACAGGCAGATATAAGAGTTGGGACAGTTGAGAAGACAGTATCTATCCAGATTTTTTCTTCCAATTTCATTGTCCCCCATTATGGCGGCCAGACGGAGAGTCATGCTCCTGGTTGCAGTGGTCCTCTCTCTGCCAGGCTTCATTCACAGCTTCCAACCCCTCTTCTCATTTGATGGTAATTCCTCCACTCATCGTGACATCACCCAAAAGGCGGTCCTCAGAAAGACAGCCGAGGTCTGCAGAGACATTGCTGCCTCTGAGGGACGGGACTTCAGCCTGACTGTGAGTTGGACAGTTACCCTGAAACAGAGAAACGTTGAGAACTGTGGTGCAACCAGAAATCCATTATATTACATGTTTTGTATTTATTTCAATTTTGAGACAGTTTTTTGAGAGTCAGGGGAATTAAACATACCGTCTTATTGAAAGAGGTCAGGGTCAGTGACCTTAGCTCAACAATTTGCTCTTGAAATATAAGTATAATTTGAACAGTGACTAAGGATTTTATGATAGACAATACTGGAGGTATTATATACCTTTTTTTTTGTTTTGTTTTGTTGTGTTCCATTGTCGTGCTCTATTTATGTAGATGTTAGTCTTTATAATTAAAGGAATTATTGATGGAAATCTTAAAAAGTATTTAGTTTGCCAATAAATCGTTTGGGGTTTTTTTATCGCAAGAACATGAGAGTACAGCGTTAGTGTTTGAAACATAGATGTTCAAACATGCACTCAGTCAGTTGGTGTGTCCTTGTCTCCAGATTGATGACAGCCTGTCAGCTGACAAGGTGCAAAGGGCCTGTTCTACTACAGGCACTTCTCTCCTGTCAACGGTCCTGTTCCAAACTTCCATTGCCAATATGTACTTCAGCAACGCAAAAGTGGACGTGGTTTTTGCACTGAGTGAGGAGCACCATTTTGATGATGAGACCTTCCAGGGAGGACGGGACATCATCACTGCAGGTACACATCAAACACAAGATATCCATGAAACAACAAACACATTTAAATATATTTCAGGCCCTGCTGCATATTGTGATTCAGGTTTTACAGACAAGTATATTTTCACATCTTGCAAAGTGCGGCTTCAGTTTGCACCTAACTCTCCCAGTTTGCACCTAACTCTCTCTGTTCTACTGTTGAGGCGTGTCTGCTGTAAAGGCCAGTGTGAAGCTGGAGAGTTTTGTTGCCGGGAGGTGGACTCTTGGACAAGTCTGTCATACCCTACAGGTGAGAATAAGACATTATGTGGGGATGGTGGTGTCATTTTAGGTGTGAAGGGCATGATCAAAACAACAAGCAATAATGGTGTGGTAAATAATGTTTCATATTCTCTATATTAAGGACTTCTATAGCCACAGTAACTGGGTGGAGCTGGGGAACAATGCTCCTTACAGCACACTGATCAAACCTGACCAACCTCTTGGGAACCTGGCAGGTAGGATAATGCTGTCTGACTGCCCACAAAGCTGCTGCTCAGTCACACTATCTGCATACCTTGAGTGAGAAATCATACTAGGCACATTGTCAGTTTATCTGTCACCTGTTAACAAATACCCACCCTGCCATGGCTCATAAAGCTTTACAGTACAGTACACACAAAAGCCACGCATGAAAATGGACACAACACATTTTAGTTTTTTAACTAAACTACGTCCAATTGTTTTTTAATCCATAAAAAACAATAATTTGCTATTGGTCTGTACACTCAAGATATATTTTTACAATATAAATATAATCTATCACTGATTAGAATCAACAATTATTAGAATTTATTCAGTAATATAATTAAATGATTATTCATGCAAGTTTACATACTCCAGTTTGAAGTAGTGTAATGTGTAAATTAATGCATTTGTAAAGCAGGTTTATTAAAAGCAGGGTTAATGTTTTCCTATATTATAGGATGAATGAACCATGCCTGGTTTGATTTTTGTTGTTGAATTTGTTGCAGATCTAAGTACTCCAACCTGTAGGAACTGTACAGGGGGCAATTGTGAAAACAACCTTCTGCCTGACCTTTTGCAGCAGGGGCTTCTCACTTCAGGCTATTTCAACATCTTCTCCTCAGCAAAACCTGCAGGTAACTTAAAGAAATCTGCTACATTTTAGTTGTGTTCCACCATTAGCATTTTGTGAACATACGTATGTAGGTGACATGTTTTCTCTCTGCTCCAAGGTAAATGCAGCCACGGTGGATCATTTGACAAGACAAGCGAACAGGACCCAGTGGGGGGCATCAACAAGGACAACGTTGGATCCAGTCATGGCTCATTTCACCACAAAGCAGCTGATTTGGCTGTGAATGCCACTTTGGAGCTACTGGAGGACATCAGAGTAGCTGTCGGAGACAAGAACTTCCTCAGGTATGGAAACGCTCCACCTGAGCCATTTTGTGACCCTATGCAAGAAGAATAATGTGTTAAAACAGCAATTATACTGTATTTATCCTAGATGTCTAAAATGACTGGACTTTTCAAACAAATTTAGTTCAGCTTCAACTGGGACAACTGGGCGTCCAGACCTGCAGTAGCAATAGCCTAATTCTATCAACATTGTCGGTTTCTTGGGCATGCAATTAAGTAATGTATAATGTTTCCAACAACCCCCATATTTTAATGATTTAGTGGTTTGTCTCTGTTTATGTTCCCATAGATTGATGGGCCTCTCCCAGTCCTCTGTGCTGTGTTTTGTCATCGATACCACAGGCAGTATGAGCGATGACATAGCTGAGGCTAAGAGAGTTTCCTTTGACATCATTGACAGTAAGAGGGGAACCCAGCAGGAGCCCTCCGCCTACATATTGGTACCCTTTAATGACCCAGGTACAAACGTATTTGTAGTTCATGAGTGACGATTGTAACTATTTGAGTAGAATTAACTGCCATGTGCTGCCTTTGACAGCTTCCAAATAAAGTAGGCCTAGTTCTACTGTGAACATTTAAAAAAGTTGTTTCTTTTTTTTTCTTTCTTTTTTTTTACTTTAGCCCCACTGTTCAAAGTGAAATGTATAATCAAGTGAGTGATGGTAAGTGGTAACAGTTATCTATTTTATACCTAGGTTTTGGACCTTTGATTATGACGACCGATGCGGACGTCTTCAAAGACAGCATCAATAAGCTGTCTGCAAGTGGAGGAGGAGACATCCCAGAGTTGTGCTTGTCTGGACTACAGGTATTAAGTGTTTTCTACTGTTATTTTCTTGGAATCAATCAGTTTTTGTAAAGCAACAAAATAATATCATCACCATGAGATGATTCAGATAAGGACACCAAGCAATAAAATAGAATTATTGCCGAGCCAGACTAACTACTGAATGCAGAATTAACCTCAAATTAACAACTTCCGTCTGGTACCACCCAGGTCCGGTTTGAGACCCACCCCTTCAGAGTATTGATACAAATACAGATAATTTTGTGTGTTGAACAGATGCAGATAATGGTGTACTCGCTCATCCCTATTATTTTTTATTCCAGACCATTTCTCAATCAATAAAATTTTTTCTTGCCCCGTATAAAACTGATAGCTAGCCCTGACTGCTGCTCCACAATCCTCTGAGATCTTTGTCTTCACTGACGCTCCAGCTAAAGACGCTCATCTGAAAAGCGCCATCACTGCCCTTATAGAAAGCACCAAGTCTGTGGTAAGAGTCAACTTTTTATTATCCTTGCTCCAAATACATTCCATAATGAAATTAAAAATAGTATGTTAACAATTGCATACATATGCAATTCTAATATAACCATCACAAGTATTTTTTTTCTTTATACTTTATACTATCTTTATACTTTTAGGTAACTTTCATGTTGACAGACGTCCTGGCCAGTCGACGGCGCCGCAGAAACCCTCAGGGTGGGAGTCCTCGCTCAATGAGCCAATCCGACGCCCAGCTGTACCGTGACCTAGCCCGAGCTTCTGGAGGTCAGGCCATTGAGGTCACCAAGTCAGACCTCTCTCTGGCTACAAGTGTAATAGAGGATTCATCAGCCAGCGCTGTGGTACGACTTCGCACAAGAAAATCATACCTAACTGACGATGGTACTGTGCAATATCTATATAAATGTGCGGGTTTCTGTTCCTTCTTGTTTCAGGTTACAATTTTTCAGGTAGTAAGGAATCCTGGAAGGCCTGATCATTTTACATTTGCTGTTGATGGTTCTTTAAGGAACATCACTGCCTACATCACAGGAGCCTCATCTCTCACCTTCAACCTCACCAGCTCCACAGGTGTCATTACAGCTATTATCTTTCAAGTTAGGACTAGCTTTGATTGTAACATTTCTCTTTTACTCCTTTCATCACTACCATTAGAAACATCTTTAGTTTAATGTGTAAATTAATGCATTTGTAAAGCAGGTTTATTAAAAGCAG